CAAAGCTAGAAACATTTTTTGTCGGCTGATTTTCTTGTTTTCAATTGTTGAATTGGGGGAAATTTTTATTGTTTAAGTTAGCTATAAATGTTAGTGTATAAGTTTTAAATTTGAAAAAGAAATTTATTTGGTCAAAGAAAAATGACTTTTTCTGATACCAAATTGATTTAGAATGCGATGAACATAGAACTAGATTGGAAAGAGATAGAATCGGAAGGGAAGAAGAGGAGAAGAGAAGAGAGATGAAAGATGAGAAAATATAGAAAAAATTGGGGGAGAGAATTAAACTTGAAGTAAAGGTGGATTCCCTTGATCTGGGTGATAGTGTTTTGATTGTATGTCTCATAGCTATGACGTTTAAGTGAAGCGGTGACAATAACCTACATTAATTAGTATCAAAGATGGAAGTCTCATATTCGAGTCGATCCTAGAGCATTCCCGTATGCTATAGCTTAGCAGGGATATGGTTGCTCATGTCAAGAATGTACCAATAGGACCACTCACACTGGCATGGACCAGTGGTAAAGCATGAGAGTTCTTTACGGAGTATCAGAGGTTCAAATTTCCGTGATAGCTGGAAAGCAACATTATGTTGAAAGACAGATTTCCCATGGAAGCAACGTTATGTCGCATTTTGTTGCTCCTCTTGTGGTCCTGTCCGCATGTTGTAAATGGAGGTCTACAAGGAGGAGAATCGCATTCCAAATGTCTGGTCCAAGTGCGTATAAATTGTGATAACATCCAAATTTACCCGGGTGGCGACCCAAGTGGGAAGACCACCACTTCTTAGGATTAGTCGGGTGAAGCTCAGAGACCTGAATCATCAAATAAAAAAAAGGACTTCACTTTTATCTATTTTTCTCGTTCAGAGAGATGGTGATAGGTTGGGATAATTACCACAAAGAATTGATGAAGTACTGGAAAATGTCTTGTCATTGTTGTATGTTAGTTCTTGCATTATAATTTAGATTAGTCTGTTATATGCAACAATTGTATACATACTGCATTTGTCACTTAAAGGGAAATTTTTTATTTGCAAATGGAACTTTCATATTGAACTTTTGACCTTGGGATATAGTCTTCAGTGTGCATTAACATTGCTAACTATGATTCATCAATCAATGAATCACTTTTGCTGTTATACTTGTGCTTATTAAATTGGAGGTGAAGTGAATAGTAATATTCCCGTGTTTGTGTTTTAGGTAGTTTTGAATTCTTCGTAATGATTGCACTTTTTTATAGTGTGAGGAATTATGGCTTGGAAAAGCACATATACCACGGATATCAAAAGTTCTGGGGCTATCAAAATTGGCTTCTTACTCTCTGTCTGTTATGGATGTCAAACGTGTGAGTAACTAGTAATATTCTCTCTGTTACGAACTCAAACATTTAGGGTATGTTGTTATGCAGTACTAGATAGTACAATGAACAACATTTTTCCATTCTTTTCTTATTTAACACTGTTGAATTACTATCCAGTATACCTTAGCAAACATGCTATCAAAATTATGACTGTGTACACCATGTTCAAGTGACTTTGATTGATGATCGTTTTCTGATCTCTGCCTAATGCATCTCAAACTCCCAATCTTTCTGATTTCAGGCAAGGATAACGTGGAATGATCTCTGTGATCATGTGTGGGAATTTCATTTCACTTGTGTCTTGGTTTATGGCAATCTTCATACAAGGATTGACCTTTTTGTTGTTTCGTGCTTAGCATATTTATCGCACTTTTAAAACATAGACCCTTATTTCTAGGCCATTAAGATTCGGTCCATTAAAAAAATCAGTAGCTGGTCCATTATTTCAAAGGAAGCCCATGTTACTTGGCCTAACTCCATTAATTACTCTCGGTTTAAGCCCAATTTTAGGAGGTCCAGACCCTTTTATCAATAAGGACGACATTTCTCTTCGTTTCTCCCACTGTTCATAACATGCACACTCCATAGGGCAATCCCACTCTTCTTCTGTACTCAAGTCGAGCTTCATTTCCCATTACCTTTTTTCGATTGAGAGAACTCGACTTCAACGAGATATATTACAACTTTTTAGCCAAAAATGATTTTCTTCTTGATCAATTGATCTGACGGAGGGGACAATCTTTTAACCAAGTAGCGATAGGAAACTCCAAAAAATAACAACATTTGCAACTCTTCCATAAAAAACTATACGGAATCTAGATAGGGTTCGTTAGACCTTTCATTCCTCTAGGGTTGGAGGGAATTGTGAAACGTAGCTATGCTCTTCCATGAGAGTGCGTATACTAAGGGCATGTCTGGTTCCGATTATTTCAATACGAAAATGGATTTTTGGACCGTTATTTGACAGGCACATGGGTCTCTTGCCATGCAAAAAGTCAACAAAAGTGGCTTTTGGGGGATTGTAACGGTCCAAATACCAAAAATGCACCCATTTCAAAATATTTAATGCAATCATTAAGGGGCANGTGAGTGTAACGTTCCAAATACCAAAAATGCACCCATTTCAAAAAATTTAATGCAATCATATAGGGTCACTCTTGTCTTTTCATAAAACAATTTCATGAACTGATAAGAAGGCAGTCAAAAAAGCTGTTGCAGTGGGGCCCCCTTTACTGTATAACGTCTCCAATTTACATTAAAATTTCGGCAAAATTGCGCCCAGACAGCGCCTAAAAGCCCAAAAGCTTGTGAACACATTCAACTAACTAGTTGCATGAAGAACATGATGGTAAAAGGGAGCAATAGAGGTCGGAGCTAAAATAACATGATGGTAATTAGGTATCAACAATCGAATGTTGATAAAAAATTATACAATCGAAATGTGGCCTTGAGATAAAGTGGCAATTTGGAGAATATCACACAATTGAGATAACGTTAGAACAAAGTCATTTGTAAATTGGCACATATATGTAGAATGTTCAACTTAGGCGGCAATGCTAATGGTAATTCCTCTGAGGGGGGATACGGAACGATTCTCAAAACTTTTATTCTCACTATTAGAATATTCAATAGGTTCAACAATAAAATCCTCATTTCTTCTTCATGATAAGGACTAAACATAACCGGACTTAATATGCTTGGCAAAGACGGAAGAATATATCCCATAGGTTAGCATTCATGTACGCTTCACCAAGGATTGGGATGCGGGAACATCATCATGCATGTTTTTCAAAATTCAAACTGTTGAGAAACCTAAGCTCTGGGATGTAGGATGTGGAGATCTTATAAATATCACGATTGTGTAAGAGTTATTTGAAATGGGCTAAATATTGGCTAATAGTAGACGTACTTTTCTATTTGCAAAAAGAATAGAACTGGTGGCTTGGTGTATAGCTATAAGAGTTATATGAATCGTACATGGTGTTGATTGGAGTGCCAAGATAGAGAGAGTTATTTGAAATAATTGTAAATGATCCCGTAGCACACTATAAATCGAATCAATTTTTTATTTTTTTTAATTAAAAATTGTATTTGTTTTATAATGAAAATTTGAGCAATTAACAACTAAAAGTAAATGAAGTTTTTTTATTTAATTAGATTTTTTTTAAAAAAAACACCGAACTTGCCAAACACTTGAAAAAAGTTAAGTTGTTAAGATAGCAAAGTCTGCCACAGTAGTTGATATGAAGCCAATCGTAGGCATAATAATTATCCAAGCATTCAGCATTTTATGCGAAACCCGATCAAACTGCATCAGTTTGGCTCCTTGATTGGAGTTAACAATAAAGTACCTGGTCGGCAACTCCACCTTATGTAATAAAGTAAAAATATGATTTTTTGTAACAAGAAGTAAAAACTAAAACAAAGCTAGAAACATCTTTTGTCGGCTGTTTTTCTTCTTTTCAATTGTTGAACTGGGGGAAATTTTTATGGTTTAAGTTAGCTATATTTGTTAGTGTATAAGTTTTAAATTTGAAAAAGAAATTTATTTGGTCAAAGAAAAATGACTTTTTCTAATACCAAATTGATTTAGAATGCAATGAACATAGAACGAGATTAGAAAGAGAGAGAATCGGAAGGGAAGAAAAGGAGAAGAGGAGAGATGAAAGAGGAGAGAGTATAGAAAAAATTCGGGGAGAAAATTAAACTTGAAGTAAAGGTGGATTCCCTTGATCTGGGTGATAGTGTTTTGATTGTAGGTCTCATAGCTATGACGTTTAAGTGAAGCAGTGACAATTACCTACATTAATTAGTATCAAAGATGGAAGTCTCATATTCGAGTCGATCCTAGAGCATTCCCGTATGCTATAGCTTAGCAGGGATATGGTTGCTCATGTTAAGAATGTACCAATAGGACCAAAGCGGGAGAGTTCTTTACGGAGTATCGGAGGTTCGAATTCTCGTGATAGCTGGAAAGCAACATTATGTTGAAAGACAGATTTTCCATGGAAGCAACGTTATGTCGCGTTTTGTTGCTCCTCTGGAGGTCCTGTTCGCATGTTGTAAATGGAGGTCCACAAGGAGGAAAATCGCATTCCAAATGTCTGGCCCAAGTGCGTATAAACTGTGATAACATCTGGATTTATCTGGGTGGCGAACCAAGTGGGAAGACCACCACTCCTTAGGATTAGTCGGGTGAAGCTCAGACACCTGAATTATCAAATAAAAAAAAGGACTTCACTTTTATCTATTTTTCTTGTTCAGAGAGACGGTGATAGGTTGGGATAATTTCCACAAAGAATTGATGAAGTACTGGAAAATGTCTTGTCATTATTGTATGTTAGTACTTGCATTATAATTTAGATTAGTCTGTTATATGCAACAATCATATACATACTGCATTTGTCACTTAACGGCAAATTTTTTATTTGCAAATGGAACTTTCATATTGAACTTTTGACCTTGGGATATAGTCTTCAGTGTGCATTAACATTGCTAACTTTGATTCATCAATCAATGAATCACTTTTGCTGTTATACTTGCGCTTATTAAATTGGAGGTGAAGTGAATAGTAATATTTCCGTGTTTGTGTTTTAGGTAGTTTTGAATTCTTCATAATGATTGCACTTTTTTTGTAGTGTGAGGAATTATGGCTTGGAAAAGCACATATACCACGGATATCAAAAGTTCCGGGGCTATCAAAATTGGCTTCTTACTCTCTGTCTGTTATGGACGTCAAACGTGTGAGTAACTAGTAATATTCTCTCTGTTGTTACGAACTCAAACATTTAGGGTATGTTGGTATGCAGTAGTAGATAGTACAATGAACAACATTTTTCCATTCTTTTCTTATTTAACACTGTCGAATTTCTATCCAGTATACCTTAGCAAACATGCTATCAAAATTATGACTGTGTACACCATGTTTTAAGTGACTTTGATTGATGATCGTTTTCTGATCTCTGCCTAATGCATCTCAAACTCCCAATCTTTCTGATTTCAGGCAAGGATAACGTGGAATGATCTCTGTGATCATGTGTGGGAATTTCATTTCACTGAGGTATATACTTCGTTCTTATTGGTGAGCCAATCCTTGCACATTTCTGATGAATCTCTAGAAATTTTACTTTGAAGTTTTTAGGTTCAGCTTAACATGCTCATAGTCATTTACGGTTGCTCTAAAAGGTGTGTTAGGTTTAGGCACTTTCCTCAGTTGCTGTCTTTAGCAAACCATCAATTCCCATGTCCCAGAGAGACCTAAATCTTTTCATTCGATTGCTTAGTCACATATTATCCGTATGTCATAGAAGTATTAATTTTCGTTTCTTATTTACCTTCCTTTAGCTGCTTTAGTTCTTTCCTATTTTATGTCCTATTTCAATTTTGCTTCTGCCATGTCGTGTGTGAACCAGTTTGTTTTCATGTTTTAACCTACACAAACTGTTGAATTTTCTCAAATGTCAGTAGCGTTGAAGATTGAATCTCATACGGGTGACAACTCTTTCAGTAGCCCAGTCTTTCATTTCTGCATTCCCAACTTTGTTTGCTGCAAATGCAGCTGAAGTTCATCGATTCTTTGATTGGGCACCCAAGATTATTTGGATAATTAAATTTGAACTATCTCTAGAAATACTTAAATTAGGTTTCCATTTTTAGTTACCTTTACGGGGAACTCCCCTAAGAAAGTATTTACTTGATGTTCATTCTTTTATGCAGCTAGGAGAGCTGCTATAGTTCTTCTATATTTATATTTCAGTTGACTCTAAAGTCAATATGGCTTTGCTATTTGTTTTCATAAAATATAAGTTGTAAAGATCCTGGGTTGTTAGATTATCTGTGTCCTATACTTTTTAGTCTTTATTTTTCTTCTCTTTGCGTACATATATTTTAGGTTCCCCCTTACCCCGTCTTAGCAGTTTGTAGATACTGCAGGTAAAACTTTACTGTTCCAGTGATTAAACACCAAATTATTCATACAATTCCAAATTACGAAGAAAAAGTTCCTTTAGTATTTTCACTTCTTATTTACCTTTTTAATCCTTTTATGATGGGCTATGTAGTTAGTTACTCAAGAAGGTATATTACTTCATGGACCTTTTTTATGCTGCTTGTATGAACTTGTTTCGAACCTAGGTTATACTTCATTTTGCCAGGATGAATGACTGACTCAGATTTTATCAAGGATAAGACTTAGTTATCATTCTAAATTATAATCATTGTCCTCAACACAATGTATACAAAATCAAAGCATGGGCCCCAAAAAGGATTAATTTGATAATCTTACTCTGATATTCTGATGATCTCCTCTTTCTGTAGGCTGCTCCTGAATATTGGCGAAATCTTGATCCTTACTGGACAGGCACAGGAAGTCCATTGCGCCGGTATTTCCATCCAGACGGAAGCATATCTGCAGATCCTGGTGATCCAGTATGGGGTGGCCACGAGTCATGTTACACTACAGTTACCGGTTTGCTGGGAGACGGGAAAATACGAGAACATTATGTGAGAATCAACCGTTGGCCTCAATTTTATGTTTCGAGGAAGCCTGACTGGGGTTGGGAGTTAGAAAGCCCTCTCTGCTGCTACTCTAGTGTCCCTGATGCTGAAAAGGAAGATGGTACAGGTCCTCTGTTTCCAGTGTAATGATCTAGTTATGCGGGTGTTTTAGTGTTTGGCAACGAGCTTTTGTTTCATGTATGTATGCACGTATAAATCGGTAAACAGATCGTGTTTGTTTCAATGAAATTTTTTCATACCAATCTAAATTGCATGGGCATGGCGGTATAGAAAAAAAGTGAATGATTTGTGTAGATATGTTATCAATTAACACAGCAGATTAAATGATTTAAAACATAAGAAGAGAGTTAAAAAGACTGGAAAAAGAGTCGAGAAAAATGATGTCCCGAAGTTGATTTTTTTTCTTTGTGCGGGTACTTTTGACACTGCATAATTTCAAAATAAAATTCTTATAGTACAACATAGGTTCTTCATGTGGGATTGATCAACGAGAAATAAAAGACTAGCCTTATCGATTTCTCAAAAATAATATGAATATAGTATAAAATATGTAAGAGGATATTTTTTTCAGTCGTGGTTAACAATGAAATATTCCTGTAAAAACTGACCCCCACAATATTAAAAATTAATCAATTAAAATAGAAGTTACATCTAAAGTTATGGTGTTTTAATTATGTATTAAAACTGTAAATTTAAAAAAAAAAAAAAAGGTTACTGTTGGGTAGGAATTAAAATCAAGATTTATAATTTAAATTAAAGTGAACGATTAATTTCAAATCGAAAATCATTATGAACAAGCAATCATGAGGAATACTTACCTTTGTGCTTTTGGTCATTATTGTTGCTCCTCAAACGGCCAACAGCCACAGTTGGTTCTGGCATATCAAATTTTAGGAGACAACATAGTATGTGTATGTCCTTGTCTGTATCCAAAGTTTCATTTCAGATTGTCTCAGTATGAAATTTTTACAGTAAGTATGAGGGTTATCCTAATGGAAAAAGGTTGAGGGCGATCATTAAAAAATTAGACCTTGGAGTTTCATTTCAGAGATGGAAGATAGTTTTATTTATTTATTCTTTCTTTTTTGGGAAAAATGAAGTTTTGAATAGTGATTTTAAAAAAAATGAAAATAGGATAAAATTTCGGATTTAGGTGCAAAATATTTTATTATGTAAGTATGTAATTAAAAACGATATGAAAATTAAAGAGCTTTATTTTAAAAGTGAGACCAACAGGGGTTAAAGATGTGTTTGATTATAAAAATGAAGTTTGCATGAAAAACAAATAAGTTAAAGGTAATTCTAACCTAGTTTTTCAACTTTTTTTAAAACAAGATAATGCTACATGAACATCAAAATTTATATAATGAGTTACATATTATTACGTATCATTCTATTATTTGTCAATTTAAAATTCAGTTAATCTTTTTCATTCACGTCGTTTTATGATAATCTTACGTAGCATAATCCTTTAAAAAAACACCACCGCACCTAACTCACCTCTGAAAATGGCCGCCACCTGCCACCCACCTGCAAATTACTCGTTAGCACTGCACAAGAAACCACCCAACCTCCTTTAGTTTATCTATAAAACTCACCGGGTCGTGTCCGAAGTTCTCTTCAATATTTTGACTTAGATCTTTGAGTGAAGGTCCAAACTCACACTCGCAACCTTTGATACTTCTCGCTTTTCTTCTACTCGCAGAAACCACTTGGAGATTTGCAACGTTGAGGTTCAATGCCGGAGATGTCCGGCTTCTCGAATGAAGCTCCGGAACAGGATTAAGTTGAATCACCGGTCTCCAATCTTAATAATTATCGGGATGAATAAGCAAAATTGAAATTAATAATTATTGGAAGAATTAAGTTTTCATATAACATTAAAGAGGGAACAAAAGGGTGAGCTGGTAAAGATAGAGATTGATAGAAAATGAAAGGAACTCTTTGTTTTATCTTTAGCATCGTGATACTGGACGGGTTTTCGGTGGAAAAATGTAAAAAATGAGGTATACATGTCATATCATGATTGTTGTGTTTTCCTAACATTCAAATGGTACAACTATTTTATCCTGATTTTTTATTTCATTTTTTCTAGTTCAATAAAATAATATTACATGCAATTTTAAAACTTTTTTTTTTGCCACACTTTTTTTCTTTTTTATCTAAATACCATTTCATAATGCATTACTGGGGGGAAAAAAAAACGAGGCTCAAACAGACTTTTGCTCTGAAAATCATATTGAACTTTTTTCTCGTAAGTTACTTACTTAAAAAAATTGACTATTAGTCAAGATAAGCGTGAGGTACAAAGAAAACATACCTGGAGCAATACGTGGAACTTATATTTCTTACAAATATTATTCATAGTCAACGATTACAATAATTATTCAATGTGATGTTTGTTATTTGATCAATAGAATCATATGTAATTAATACTTCAAATAATAAGATGCAACATAGGATAATACGACAATCACGTACTATAAATTGCTTGCATACTCAATTTTTGAGGATTCAAAATAAGGATGAGGCAGAAAGAAGTCTTTTGCTCAATGCCCAATTGACCCTTTTGATGGAATAATAAACACATATGGCTTTCCCTTTTAGGCAAAAAATTCTGTAAGAAGTTTGTACAGATTTCACCAAGGGGCTTTTGGAATGGGTTGTGCTAGATGTACACAATGAGTTACACAATGGATTACACCCCCTTTACATGGAGAGGGTACATACACAATAAAATATTCGTGAACCCCCCTTCATGTGAGGGGGGTGTAATCCATTATGTAAACCACCAGGTGTACATCTAGCATAATTCTTTTGGGATACCATATACAACTTTCATCTATTGTAGAAGTGAGTGGTCTTCTCTTGAAATAACTTCCCTTCAAAAATGCTGAACTTTAGTTTCATAACAAAAATGAGACACTTGAAACTATTTAATTCGGTATTTTGGGCCCCTTTTTGGATAAATTGCGTGTAAGACAAATTTGAATATTTTTTATCCAATTTCTCTATAATTTATATGAATGAATAAAAAATATGACAAAGTTTTTTTGTAATTTCGCATACAACGCACGTGTTACATACTATTTAAATAAACAACGTGTATTAATACTTTAAGTGGTTGGACAAATGAAAATAAATAAAAAATATAAAAGATTTAGATTGATTATTTGAATTTAGAATAATTATTACCAGATCTCTCAAGATTTTTCTAATACTAATATTGCCTGCCTATTAGAGTATGTGACTATATGCAATTCCTTTTTTAGTAAAAATCAAACTTTAATTATAGTAATGATTTTGGCTTTCGGTTTGAATTATCTAGCAATCCAAATTCCTTTACTCCAATATAAATTAGATTGAAAACGAACCCAGAAAATCATCTCCTGTGTCCTAAGTTTTCTTGTAAGCCCAACATTCTTCGCTTGTCTGAATATTGTTGAGCAGTTTTTGATATGGAAAAATTCATAGATCAGGGATTATCTTTCACGAAATCAAAAATCAGGCCCCAAAGTTTAAATTTACCTCAGGTTTTTCCATGAATTAATTAATTATATTTTACAATTAATCTATTAAATTAAATATTTAACTGTAATATAATATAATTGACCCACCCCACTCTACCCCACCTCTACCTCCACCACCTCCAC